ACAAATTTAGTAGGGATGCCTGTGATGACATTGCTTCCACCGTCGGTGCCTTCGCTCGCAACATCACCTACGACAATGCCGCGTGCAAGTTCATTTTGGAGGTCAGCGTGTCTGCCGTGGCCGACATCATCCAAGAAAGGTTTAACATGTCAAGGCTGGTTGTGGTGCGACCGCTGCCTTTCGAAGACTTCACATCTGTGGTCAAGGAGGTGGCAAAGCAGGGAAACGACTTCCGGACGCTGAACAAGGTTCTTGCCGAAGATGACATGGACGAGGTGTTGAAGCACTACTACATTCGCGTGGGGGGCAACTTGCGCGCCTTGGACTTGATACTGGAAGACGTCTCCAGAGAAGGTCAGAAAGGTGCGGATGCGGTCATCAAGCGGGTTGAGCAGTGGTACAAGCGGAGGGTGGAAGCAATTCAAAGGAAATTGGATGACCAGGAAGTGAAGGACTATCTCCTCAAGGTGGCAGGGGCAGGACCCATGGGGTATCTCCCAGAGAGCGACGAAGACACCAAAATGACTTTGAATCTTCTTCGTGAGGAGCCAGCAGACTGCGTCCTGAGGAGTACAGCTAATTTAAGGGTGGCTTTGAAGCATTGGCATTTCGTCGCCAAGCTCTTTGAAGAGGATGAGCAGAAGTTGAGGGATGCAGGATACATGTGAGCTTCGCCGGTGAAAAAAACTGTGGCGCTTGAGATGTTTTGTGGGTGAATCATCCAAGAGTAATTTTTCACGTATTGCATGCATAACCGCAGATACCCAACCCTAGTATCAATGATACCCAGATAGCAGTATCTAAGTATCAACGATACCCAGAGCCTAGTATCAATGATACCCAGATACCAGTATCCAAGTATCAACGAGTCTGTTTTGTTGAGTTCCGTTTTCTGTTCCTTGATGTTCATTTTTATATATAATACTTTATAATTTTTTTGATGCTAAAGATTTCAATTTCTCTCTCGTCGCTTTGTTCTTTTCCTCTTTGGCTTTGTTGTAGGTGTCTCTGGCGGACATTGCGCTTTGTAGTTCTTCCTTTATTTGTTTTACAAGGTCGCTTTTGAATGCTTCTGGGTCAAAAGGTGGTTTCGCCCTTGACGGTCTTACTCTTTTGGGCTTTGGGACTACCGTTGCTGGTTGTGGTTTCTCTTCAACGGGTTTTTCAATTATTTCTTCTGGTTTCTCCTCTTCTTTCGGTGTTTCTTCCTGTATTGGTTGTGGTATTGTTTCTTCCTTTGGTTCTTCATTATCAATCTCTTTTACGACTACCTCTGTCATATATTAATATTATAGATAACTTTATACTTTCAAAATCTCGTGCCTCAAATACGGTTTGTTCAATCCTTCCAGTTTGAAAGTTCTGTTTCCGACATCATCGTATTCTATCTTGACGATTTTGTAGGATTGATTGCTCCACTTTGAGTTATACTCCTTCCTCTCGGTGTAGTTGTCTTTTTTCTTCTCAAAGACCTTCACCATATCATTCACTTTGACCTGGATATTTGCGAGCGTTCTTTTCCCTCCTTGTCAAATTCACCCTGACGTCCATATGGTTCTTGTCGTCGTGGGCATCCTTGGGTTTCATTTTCGTGGATGAATGGACGGTGTCGTTGTATTTATCTAACGCTTTGGACAACATCACAGTCCAACTGCCACGATTAAACCTAACTCTATCGTGCATCATATTTTTCATTGTCCTTATGAAACGCTCCACAACATTAGCGTGAGTTAGGGTGACGACGTGAGTGATGCCTTCCTTCTCAAAGAACTCTTTAACCCCTGCTTGGAAGGCACGGTCATTATCGCTATAAACGGACATCGGAGAGCCCATTTTGTTGAAACTCTCTTTCATCGCCGACAATGTGATTGGTCCAGATGTTTCTTTCATAGGGACGACGTTTGCCAACTTGCTGAAGATGTCAATGACCACCAACCGTATCTCGGTTCGTCGTTCTTGATGGGATTTTTTGTCTCTGGTTCTTTGGTAAGGGGTTTCATATCCATTATGTCAATCTGATATTCAAACCTTGCGAAGGGTGCGGTGTAGGAGTTTGAACCCCTGTATTTTGTAATCTGTTTGTTGGGCTGTTTCCTCATAAAGTTTTCCACATCCACCCTGTTGATGGACTGGTCTTGTTCCTTTGCTCTCTTAAGGGTCTCATTGATTGAACCGAAGCCCGTTTCAAGATTGTAATAGACATTGCTTATGATGTCATCTCGTGATAGTCTCCTTGCCATATATTATAATATTAGATTTTTAAAATTTTCAGTAATAAAAAAATATACTTAAAGAAAAAATACCTATATATAGTAAGAATATGTAAGAATAAGTAAGATGACTAAATTTGACTGTGGATGTCGTATTATGAGCGAGTGTATCACCTTAAACAATGGTGATTACAAAAAACCTAGTTGGAATTATTTGTTAAAAACCTTCGTGAATGTTTGTGGAAAGTGTGGCAAGAAACAAATGAAATTCCAACAAATGGAAAACAAACTTTTGGAAATGGAAAAGCAACGAATGGAAATGTTTATGAACTTTGAAGATGAAGACGGAGAAGAGTATGATGAAGAATATAAAGAACAATTTAGAAAGATTACAGACGAAAATATTGAACGACACATCGGTCTTGAAAAAATTAGAAATGTAATGGAAGGATTTGACAGAGAACACGGTATAGACAAAATAAGACGGATGATACAAGAAGTAAGAAATGAAGACAAGAAAGAAGAACCTGAAGATGAAAAATATGAAAGTGATAGTAGTGAAACACAACGAATGAAACGATTACAGTGGATAAGGGACAACAGAAAACCCAAAAACTGAAAAAAAAACTTTTTTTAAAAAAAGTACCGATATATAGTAAGAGGATGCTATTTACTTATAAAAACTGTGGATGTTGTAAGAAAGAATGACGAACCTAAAGGTTTTACTAAACAATATTTTTCCCGCTGGAATTTGTGATGAGATATGTGATTACAACCTTCACTGTTCAAAATGTAAAGACTTAAACGACAGGGAACGTAGATACATAGATTTCAATTATCATTTTGACCATTTTAATGATAAAAAAACTGACAAGAGTTGAAAAGACAATCTATTTTTTTAAAACAAGGATGGAGAAATCACCTATTTATTTATCCAACACGAACCGAACAAACACTCGGCAAATGAAAAGAGAAATTGATGTTTTAATGGATACATTCAAACTCAAGCAAGAATTCAAACACGACAAACTGTTCTTAATGGCGATTAAGTCTTTTGTGAAAAGGGAGTGGAAAACTACCTATCACTTCCTTAAAAACTTTCACGACCTTACGTATATGAAGTATTGTAAGAACAAGCGGGAGTGGTGGTTTCCTCAAAATGATTGGACTTATACATTTAGACACAGGGAGTTCAAGGTAAATGACATTTTGGTTTTTTTTGCGTGAATATGTTGAAGAACTGTTCAACGGTTATGAGAAATATTTGAACATAGAAGAAATAAAAGAGCACCTACAAAAAGTGATAAATACTTAAAGAAAAATAACTATATATAATAAGAGAAAATGAGTAGAGCAAAAATTGAGGTTATAGATATAGGTAATATCGGTTTATATGCTGACTTTGGTAGTGAAAGCGAAGACGATGACTGGGAAAGAAAAGCAATAGAAAAAGAAAATGAAGAGATTAGAGACTTTGTAAGGTGTCATCCTATGCCTTCACCAGATGATGAGGAAGGAGACAAATTTTGGAAGAAAGTAATTAACAGATTGAAAAACGACCAAGGAATAAATGCTATGATAATATATTCGTTTGAACATTTTGACATTATGAAAAAGATGTATGAAAACCTCACTGATAAAAAGGTCATCGTTGATTGTGGTAAGGAACTTAACCGTGATGGAAAATGGGATGTTATGGCAATAAATCAAACTCTAGTAGCATTAGCAATAGATGAACTGAATGATACAGACAAACCTATCACAAGTCAAGTCAGGATAATTGAACACTGGTGGGATGGAATAGGAAAGTGGAAAGCATAAATGATTAATTCATAATATCTTAACAATATATTATGAAGTAATCACCCGCCCAAACACAAACAAACACCACAACAGTCTAAACAATTATCCCCCTCATCTTAAACCAAACCATCAAGTGAAAGTTAGGGGCAAAATAGTCCCACAACCCCCACCACATAAAACATCAAAGATAAGGAAGAAACATTGAACAATAACATAATAACCGTAACAGGGAACACTAACTGGGATATTGTCCCAGTATCCCTGTTTTACCATTTTTTCCCAGAGTATCACTTTTTATGTTTCATTTATAGATAAAAGAGATCTAAATACACCTATATGAATAGATGATATCATGTTATTAGATAAAATAGATCTAATCACAGCTAAAATTGATAAACTAAATAATTTATTCATGGATCATGTAGCTGTGACATATGAATTCTATATGCACCTTGGTAGCCCGGATCATGGGCGAGGCTGTCGTTGACGGTAGAGATGGTTCCTTTGGTACTCTTTTCTTATGTAAAGTCCATGCTACTAATGGTTATCCATAAGATTTTATAAAGTGTATTATAATTCAGTATAATTTATAGTTTATGATGCTTATGGATTATCCATCTACTGGTGTACTAAAAACATGCTTGGTTTTGGCACTATATCTATGCAACAAGGTTAGCATAGATGCAGTGGGTACACCCTGTGTTGAAATGGCACCTCTTCCGTCTCTCTGGACGTTCACGTCGTTTGAAGCTGGGAACTTATCCGACCTTGTTCCTGGTTTCTCGTTGTTATGTGCTTGGTGGGCTTAACTGTGTTTATCATGTTTGATATTACCCTCTGGTAAACTAACATAGCTATTGAAAATGGCCATTTATAGTGGATTTTCCCATTAACAATGGTGATTTTCAATAGCTATGTTAAATTACCAGAGGGTAACAAAAGCATCAAAAAGCACTTGTGCTGGTCATATCCCTTCTCGTTTGCCAGGATTTGAGACCTCTACTGTTGGCGTTGCTACAGTTGGACGAGCCACAACGAGCTTCGCTGCGCGTGTTGCATGTAGGCCCCTGGCATCATCGCCATATGGGGGAGATTCTTTGGACCGGCAAAAAAAGAAAGAAATCCTGACAAGCTTTGTCAACGATTCTGGACAAGTCTACAAAGACATGCAATTCGAGACGCACTCTTCAGATCAAGTTTAGACCTTTCTCTGGTGATCCACTTGGGAGATCTTGAGAGTCAGTTGTGCTTGCCCCAGTTCTTTGGGTGAAGAAAGGCTGCAAAAGTAGGTCAAGATAGGTCAAGTATATGGATGACTTAGTTAAAGCTGGTTGAGCCAAGTAGGTTAGCGAGTGGCTTTATTCCAGATATATCGAAGTACTTGAGGGTTGAAAAGCAAAGAGAACTTGGGGCCAGCAGGGCCACCATCTTGGAGGATATGGCCAAATGGCCAGGAATAATTTGCCGAAGCTAATGAAAAACGTAAGCGAAGAATAACTTAAAGGGAAGTTATATGAAGTAACTTTTTGTTATTTTATGATTGAAAAGATGACTATGATTATTTCTAGACTCACCTGGCCAGCAATATACCTGTGTCATCCAATTTATAGTTTTTTTCTTGGGGAAGAATCATGAAAAACCTCTAGATTTGGTCGCAGTGACTGTGGCCTGGGGTTCAGGCTGCGGTACGAGCAATGTCACAGAGGGGCTCTGGAAAGATCATTTTCGCAGCTTGGCAGCAATGGTGGATGAGAAAAGAGTATCCCCACAATGTGAGGCCCCCAAGATAGCTAAGTTGGTTTATAACTCCAATAACTATGGTTTATGGTATTTATAACTATAGTTACTGGGGCTTTTGTTAACCAACAAACATATCTTGGGGGCCTCACATTGCAGCTTTCATCAACTAATCCAGATGGCATTGAGATCTGCCCCCCTGAAAATTCCCAACAGCAATGACCGGAGTTTTTTCATCTCTGGCTTTGGAAGTGCTGCGTTGTGGCTGTCATTGGCTTGCAAAGCTTAGTTACTGGTATCTATGGTTCCTTTACATACTTCGTTAGGAGATTGCTTTAGTTTCTTCACCCAAGATTAGAGCAAACCCCACTTAAAGTGTTTAGTTGAGATGGAAAGTCACTAGAAATCCCGTTTTTGGTGAAATCACTATCCAGCATCCAGCTACGTAACGAAATGGAGGTTTTCTGAAATGGGTAGCCCCAAATCATCCAAATTAGAGCATTTTAGTATTTCAACCGATGGTGACTTGGGGATCAATTTTAGGAAACCACCAGATGTATCCCGAAACGAAGCCCTGGTGAGTTGTGTGTCAAGAGGCGCTTCGATCCCTCTGCACAGGTCAGATTACAAATATCGATTTCAGTGAGGCCGAGAACGTCTCACCTTGTTTTTGCGTGCGGCCAGCTGAACGTATCATCTTTGGGGTACCCAATTTTGACATATACCCATTTACATATATATATATATATATATTATATATATATTATGTATATATTATATATATATTATATATATATTATATATATATATATATTATATATATATTATATATATATTATATATATATTATATGTGTGTATGTGTATGTATATATACATATGTTTATTCAGAAATGCATGTGTATACATATATATATATAATACACATAGGTGTATAGCTACACTTGGGCGGTTTGGTATCCCAGTGTTGTAGATTTCATCCACGGGGATGGCCATCCCCTTCCCACCGTTGGAAGGGTGTGATCAAACTGATGGAGCAACGGTGGAAGCAGAACAACGGCGATGAGAGTGGCTTAGCTTTTTAGCGGCGCTGTGCAAACGAAAGGTTGAAAAGGCCGAAAAGACATCGGTAACATTCATGGGTCTGAAAATTAGGTATAGCCTCCAAATGGTTGTTTTATACATTTTTATACAAGGTACTTGAGTTAAGTTGTCTTGTCCTGCAGAAAGTCGTCTGGATGTGGGCACTTTGATGTTTCAGCATGTTTGACAACACGTGTAATGATTGCGAAGCTTTATTGTTGTTGGTGTGCGTGTGGTGCTTCGTGTTTTGTTGAGTCGACCTGGTACCCAATTTCGACCCTCAACTTGATCTTGAATTTGGGTTTCCCAAAATCGAGATACCCCCAAATCATCCAAAATTTGACCATTTTAGCATTGAAACGAATGGTTTCGTGGATCCCACATTTTAAGAAACCCCCACATCAATGTGAAATCATGGATAGTCAATGTGAACAATTAATCAACTCAACGTTCATCTCATCTCAATTTCAATCAGTATTGAAACATGAAGCAGCTACTTTCAACCACATGAAATCGTTCAATGAAAGTGATCGGTAAAGACCAGCTGCGACCACTTCCAGCCCACGGGTACACTTGAAAAAACAGTCAGCGAGTTGGTCTACCATGTTCTACCTACTATTATTTATTGCATTCCAATTAGATCCAATTAGAGTGTATGTGATTTTGCATATAAGGTGATTAATGATAATTATTATATGTGCAGCATATATATATATATATGATCTGGAAGTACTAAATACGTATGTATATATATATATACACAAAGTAATTCTACACATATACATCTGTATACATAAGCCTACATCAATAGCCCAACGTTGCAGTGCCCACAGGACATGCCCCTTGCCGAGGAGTCCAGTGGCATCACATGGACCTCACGGACCTGTCCAGGACCGACGGTGATTTTGGGCTACTTTCATTTTAAGAGACCTTCATAGTCATATGTGACATGTTGTGATATTGTCATATTGTAATGTTTATATATATAAATACATACATTACATTACATTACATTACATTACATTACATACATTACATACATTACATACATTACATTACATTACATTACATTACATTACATTACATTACATTACATTACATACATTACATACATTACATACATTACATACATAACATACATTACATACATTACATACATTACATACATTACATACATAACATACATACATACATAACATACACAACTAACATACATACATACATACATGCATACATGCATACATGCATACATGCATACATGCATACATGCATACATGCATACATGCATACATGCATGCATACATGCATACATGCATACATACATGCATACATACATACGTACATACGTACATACGTACATACGTACATACGTACATACGTACATACATACATACATTACATACATTACATACATTACATACATTACATACATAACATACATACATACATAACATACACAACTAACATACATACATACATACATACATACATACATACATATTTTTACATATATATATATATCCAGGTACAGTACAACTTTATAATATGTATATAATTATATGTACAATGGGTTGAGTATAGCGACCTTACTGGCCGAGCTGGCCATAGATGATGGCCGGGATTGAGAATTATTCTCCCCAAAATGGTGAACCTTTCAAATTAGGAACCGCACATCTAGTCTGCTCCATAACATTGATCGATATTGATTGTCCAATTTCCGATGTTAACCTACCCTCCAGTAATTTAAGGATTGTTATTTTTTGGGGCAAGTTTTGGGCGTTTTTGTTCGAATTTATGTGTTCCTGCTTCTTTGCTCTTCTGCTTCTCTGATGTTTGCTTTTCTGCTTTTCTGCTTTTCCCTGCGCTGCTTATGTTTTTCTGCTTCTTTGCTTCTCCACTGTTCTGCTTTTCCGCTGTTTTCTGCTTTTTTGCATCTCAAGCCTAAATAAACCCCAAGATGCATGATATAAATACACCCTAAACCAACCATAAATAAACCCCATACCAACCCCCAAAAAAACTAAAATTACTTTACTTCGAGTCATCCCCATCATGACATTTATACTTTTTGTTATTGGCAAATCTTCTGGCATTCTATCTGACATATCTTCTGGCATTCTATCTGGCATATCTTCTGGCATTCTTTCTGGCATATGTTCTGGCATTCTATATGATATTCTATCTGGCATATCTTCTGGCATTCTATCTGGCATATCTTCTGGCATATCTTCTGGCATTTTATCTGGCATATCGTCTGGCATTCTATCTGGCATATCTTCTGGCATTCTATATGACATTCTATCTGGCATATCTTCTGGCATTCTATCTGGCATATCTTCTGGCATTTTATCTGGCATATCTTCTGGCATTCTATCTGGCATATTTTCTGGCATTCTACCTGGCATATCTTCTGGCATATGTTCTGGCATATGTTCTGGCACTCTATCTGGCATATCTTCTGGCATATCTTCTGACATTCTATCTGGCATTCTATCTGGCAAATCTTCTGGCGTTCTATCTGGCAAATATTCTGGCACTTTATCTGTCACACCTTCTGGCATTCTTTCTGACATTCTATCTGGCGTTCTATCTGGCATATCTTCTGGCATTCTATCTGGCTTTTGAGGTCAAGCGGTGCGCACTGAGCTCGGAAGGCCCCAGGTTGAGGTCCAGCGGTGCGCACTGAGCTGGGAAGGTCCCAGGTTGAGGTCCAGCGGTGCGCACTGAGCTGGGAAGGTCCCAGGTTGAGGTCCAGCGGTGCGCACTGAGCTGGGAAGGTCCCAGGTTGAGGTCCAGCAGTGCGCACTGAGCTGGGAAGGTCCCAGGTTGAGGTCCAGCAGTGCGCACTGAGCTCGCAAGTTGGCGAAGAGCTTGGCGAAGAGTTGGCAAGGCGGAAGTGGAGGTGGAAGGTGATGCAGACATGGTCGAGGAGAAACTGGAGGAGGAGGCGGAGGAGGAGGAGGACAACAGCTCTAATAAAATCTAACAACCCTAACCTGGCAGGTGGGGAAAAACTTTAAGTAAACCAAAAATAAAATCTAAAAAAACTAACGTCTGAAGCTTACCCCAAACAAACCCTAAACATCTCTAAACCAGCCCTAAACAAAATAAAACCAAATTAACACCCAAAAAAACAAGAACAACCTTAAGTAACCCCTAAACAAACCCAAACTCTGAAACTTACTGTGCCCTAAATAAACCCGAAACCAGCCCTAAATAGATCATACAAACACCCCAACTAGATCTTAAACCAAGCCTAAACAAGCCCTGAACCAAGCTCTAACTATATAAAACCAAAACCAACCTTGAATAGATCCTACATAAATCTTAAACCACGCCTAAAGAAACCCTAACCCAACCCTACATAGATCCCAAACCAACCCTAAATAAGCCCAAACCAACCCCAAAACTAACCCTAAAAAACGACACCAACCATAAATAAAACAAAAACAACCCCAAACCAATCCGAAATAAACACTCAAACAAACCTTAACATACCCTAAATGAACCCTAGTCGCACAATACCATCCAACATGAAAAGTTTGAGCACCAAAACATTGCAAATACCATGGAAAATGAGAGGTTCGAACTCGAAAATGTTGCAAATACCGTTGAAATGGCAGCTTCCAGCTCCCAAATGCTGCAAATTGCAAGGAAAACGGACAGAACAGCAGATCCAAAAAATATCCCAAAGCGGAAAGACAATAATTCCCAAAACAATTCCGGACCCGTAGTTTAACATATGGAAATGACTGCTTATTATCATCGAAATAAACATGGCCTCCATAGGGAAAGTGATTATCACAGGCCCGGGTAATTAATCTCCGTCTTCTAATGTCTAGTACGATTGTGCTGTTCTATCTTGGTGGGTTCTATGTTTACCGGACTCCCACAACGGCACCTTGGATGGATGAGGCTTCCTTCCGCTTCCTTCGACTTGGCTTTGGAGAAGTTTACGCCACTTGATCTCCGTATGGATTGGCAGTGGAAGAATGGTCTATAAAGGGGAAAAAGGGTAGAATTGTGTGTTCAAATTTTCTGTTGAAACCTGCTTTTTTGCCCTGAGAAGTGTTGACCTCATCGGATTTTTTCGGTGGCTGTTTCTCAGTGTCCGTCGCCACTTGGCTTACTCTTTGCCTGGGGAGCTGTCAGTTGTTGCTATCAAGGTTCGTGTGTGATATGCATATGTACATATATAATCATGCTTAATCATATATACACCTACATGTGGGCGTATATATATATATATATTTTTAAAAAAAACATGATAATATAATGTGTGGTTTTGCCAAATCTGTATCATTTGCTGAGTTGTTTATTGACCAAGCACAGATTACAGGGACCCATACAGTATCGAAAGTATACATTACCTATCCATGACATGTACCTAGACTACCTATACCCTCAATTCACCCAACAAATAAACATATTTCTTTTCGTATCCGAACATCTTTCCGTTACTTTACCCACATTTTCTGGCTACTTTGAGGGTCTAGATATATAGTTCCACACAGGTGTGTATATATAATGTATATATAATATATAATATATATATATATATATTTATACCTTTGGGACATCTCGATCCACCCCGAAAAAAGCTCGGTCAACCTTGATCCAGCCCGGCAGGTTGGATGCAGTGCTTTGCGAATCCAAGGACCTTTGCGGGTAGGTGGAAGTCGAAGTATCACAATTTGCCCAGGCGAGCTGTTGGCTATTTGATGCGATTTGTGGCAATTGATTTACAAGTTGTAGCTATTTAATGCTATGTAATGATAGCTCGCTAGCTATTGAACCAGCTATTTATTATGATACTGGATTTATGATAGCTGTGAATCTGCCAAGAACTGCCGTATGTTTTGCCTTATGACAATTGTTTTTGTGTTTTTCGTTGCCAGGGCGAAAGAAATCGTTTCGCTTCCTGAGGTGACCCAAAGTTGATGGCTTGGCAACACTTGTGGCTAAAAGCAATTCAATACACATTCTATATAAACCTAAGATA